ATGATATTCAAAATTTAAGGTGTGTCGAATTAAGCAAATGGAGATCATTTCTATAGCCTATTGTATGATTGATAATCATCATTATAATTTCAACTGGAAAACGTCCACTGCTGGAGATAGGCCTTTGCCAAAAATCGCCACGTCGTATGGTCACGCGCGGTCCACATCCAACGCTTCCCGGCAATCCTGATCGGCCCTGTGATTCTGTAAAAATCGGAAACCGAATTTGAAATCACTAAGGTGTCTGAATTCACTACAAAAGCGGCGTCCACTCAACTTTGAATTGGTAATAACGTTTCGTGACATAAGTGAAGTGAGTTTTGAAATGACATATTAATAGTTTTGTAATATTATACAAAAATGGAACTAATAAAATTTCTACACTAAATATGGGCACATGAGTGAATTCGTATTCCGGTTTGGAATTTTAACAGAATCGATTACCAGATCGTTGGTTCATAATGTAGGAGGCTCGCTCTGTTTTCCAATTCGTGGTCACCACTCGAGGATTTTACTGCCCCGACGGCCTCCTGCCCTACGGTCTATGTGTCGGACTCACTTCAGACTCGCAATTCTTCAGATTATATCGATTACGTTGTTTCGTCTGCTAATTTTCTCATTTCTGATTTGATATCGCAAAGAACCTCCAAGCATATACCTTTTCATCGCCCTCTGGGTGCCTCTGAGCCTATTTAAAAGGCCCATAGTTAGCACCACGTCTCGGTTTAATACGTCAACACTCGCAACACACATTAGTATAACGTTCGATATTAGGACCTAATCGGATATTTCCAAATGTGTCATAATACGAGACGCCTTTGAGACTATCTAAATAATTACAATAATGCAAATGATATTTGAAATCGTGAAAGTTTATTCATTATCTAGCGTTTCTTGCAACAATTGCCTTTTGCGTAATTAAATATTCAATCAACTCTACTACCGTAATATTGAAATAACTGAAGCCTGCCGTTACGGATTGTTGATTAAAATTTAATTTGAGAAGCAATTCCTTTGAATATAAATTTATTAAAATAAAGATAGTTATTTGTTTGCTTAAGAATATTCAAAAATTATTCAAGCATACAGTTCAGTTGCCAACAGAGCTACAATTGGATTTTTTTTGGTGCTTGTTATAACTACAAAAACAGCTCGCTATCTCAGGCGGCACTTAAATAATTATATCCTATTTTGAGTTTGTAATTATTCATGATCAAACTATCTCGTTTCAAATGAACTCGTCTTTAATTCTCATCAACGAAAGAATCATCTCTAACTTTACCTATAACCAATGTTATATTTGTGAAGCTCGTTCATGCAGAGGTTAGTGCATTTGGTTTGTGATATGGAGGTTATTGGTTAACTTATCACATTAATAGGATATGTAAATAAAAACCTTTCATGTCGTGCTATATCGTTCTTCGAAACGGACTTCAAGGTGTCGGTTCTGGTAACTCTTGCAATTATTAACATAATACCCTCTTACTTTTATTTTTTATAGGTTGTCTGGAATAAATCGCTGATAAGCGATAAAGCAGTTTTTTATGGTAAATGTGTTAATGTATGTTATTTCTTTACCTCTGTTGTGTGTACAATAAAGAGTTTTTATCTTATCTTGATTCCATTCACAGTGAAGTCCCCTGTGCTATGCCCCTGCCGCCTGTTGCCCCTATATAAACAATAATCTGATAAAAAATATTTTGAACCTTTTTAATAAAATAAAAAGCAACTTACTAATATATTATTTATATATCTTGTGTGATACCAACCTTTGATGATGAGACTAGCGTTTCGCCTACACACATACACATGTACAGTTTGCAAGACGTGAGCTTATGATGATTTATTTCATCGTTTAAATATGGCATAGAAATTCTTAAATGGATACTGAAATTACTTTCTAAATTATGACAAGCGAATACGTAAACCGATCGCTAATTTCATGTATGCCAATTCTGCTTAATGTTCACGTTGCATCTCGATAGTCTAAACGACCCGCATCTTGCCATTCTACTATCTACATGAAGTCCTATTTTATTAGTACTATGTTTTCCTACCAAATTAATCTTCACAATAAGCCTTTGATATGTCACATAATATCTCCTCTTAACATAGTTTGAGAAACTTTCAAGCTTACTTCCATTTCAAATTAATTTAATTGCGATAAATGGCTGTTTCAGTGTCATTAACTTACATGTGTGACTATGACAGACAGATGACAGAGTGGTCCTACAACGGTTCCGGTTATCTTCCGCTTATGTTGCTACAGAACTCTTAAGAATCACGATTTATAAGATTCCATTTTTACATCCTTTTTGCTAAGAATTCTATTCGTCGATTCAATTGAACATAAAATCGACGTGTAGGGAAATGTTCCGAGTTAAATCGCTCGAGTACAACGTTGTTTATTGCGTCTGTCATGCCCAAGAATTGATGTCCAAAATATGAAAAATGAGACGTATCCCGCACACAAGTTCATAGATCTCATTTGGTGGCGAAAAATGTCTTCAGGTGGAATACACTGAACAGGTATATTCATAATGCCATGTTTTAAATCGTATTTTCGCAGATTTTTATTGCAGTTCGGAGAAACGATAAACATTTTGTTGATTCGATTTTTTTTTTAATATTCTTAAAGAAAAATGCTTACAAAATTCACTTAGGCCTTGGTATTCTGAGATGAGATCGAACCCACGACTATTCACAATCCGGACAACTGCTCTAACCACTGAAAAAAGTAACAAGTGTAACAGTCCTGTTAGGTTTTGGGTAGCTCAGTAGTTAGAGTGCAAAAGCGCGACTTCATGTGACATTTTAACTCAATGTATCGCCGTAATTTAAGGATTACGGAAAAAAAACGTGTTTATTATTTTCAACAATCCAGACAAACAAACAAGAATCATCATCCCTATTGTTTTAATTTCAAAAACCCAGTTGCACAAACGTCTATTAAAATTGTCATTAGTTTAAGTGACATTCGGAGAGTTGTACAAAGATCCATTAATGTTTAATGACGCTTTTAAGTTCAAATAAATGTCGCTTTAAACTAATTACAATTTTAATGGAAGTATGTGCAACTGGCTAATTATTCATACAAAAAAGTTACTAAGGAGGAGTAGTGCTCGGTGGCGTAGGGAATAAGCGCCGCCTCCCTATTTTGTTGTCCCTCCATCTTTGTTGTTAAGCATCTTTCGCATGGGTCGGATACGTAATGGGTGAGCCACTCCGTGCCTCGGAAGGTTCATTAAGCAGTTGGTCCTGGTTGCATTTGCAGTCGTTTATAATCTTGTATCCGCGTTGGGCTAGTGGAGGGTAATGGTATCCTCCTTTGCCATCCATAAGAAAGATGGACTTCGACGAAGCGGTGGTTTGTGAGAAGAGCTCTAAGGAAATACCTGAGGCAGTCTAGGCAGATCTTCTCTACAAAAATGGTAAGGGAGGAGTTATCGTAAGTTAAGGTATCCCCTCGTTCTACCGGAGTCAGCGTAAGTGGGTGACAACCACTCACTTGATGAGACAAAGGCTCAATCATATCTTGATCACCCCCTACCAGCGAGGCAAATCATTATATCTTGGGTTCCCGGGTGCCGCTCTCAACAGAGGATATGTCCAGAGTTTTTAGTACGTAGACCCTGTCCTTTAACTGGGGTGAGTCTGATCCACCGCCTGTCGTCTTGTCAGGCGGTAGGGATAGTACCTAACGAATTTTGATGATTTTCAGTAAAAATATTTTTCAGTATAGCATTGTGATTGCAAAATTGATCAAATATAATAATTAAAACAAAATTTTCATCTTTATCGAAAGTTTAAATATTTCTTAACATATTTCTTTCATTTTGGTGGGTTGCCTGAACATTGATGAAAATACGCTCTCTAGTAGCGAAAAGTAAGATGTGGTTAAAGCATTTGCCCAGATTGTAAAAGGTCACGTTTTCGGGTCCCATCTCAGAGAGCCAGGGACAGGGTTTTTTTTTTAAATATTAAGGATATTTTAATTGTTATCAGAGACTTCACATTACATACTCTCACGAACTAGGTTATTTAGTTTCACAATACATTGTATTATACGCATGTGACGAAAGTAGAAATAGGCTTCTAATATTTTTTTTAGAAATTCTTCAACTAAGTTTTTGCAAAGGTTAAGCATCTCCAAAACGAATATTTTGTTTTGCATATATTTCCTGAGACTTATTCAGATTGAAATATAAATGATTAATACTTCCGACCTGTTACTGAATTTAATTATTACAATCTGCGTAAGACGACGCTTAAAGTAACCAACTAAATAATCTTAATAACTAATGTCAAGTTGATTGTGGACGAAATACTTAAAGAAACTGTAATTAAAAACGAGATAAAATATCTAGAGAAGGACTAGGTATTTTTTTAAAGTAAAAACCAGTCAAGAGTGAGTTGGACTCGTGCACAGAGTTTATTAATATAACTATTAAGTCCTTACATATGAAATTGGCGTTTTGTTGTACTGGCCACTTTAATCACTAATTTTTTCTCCTTGGTTGGGAATCCCAAATTCAAATTTAAATAGCCATTTACAAATGCATTTGTGTTTCTTTAGGCGGCATTCATTTGTTTTTTTTTCTTCTGTTTGTCCTATTTACGTCACGCAGTATAAAAAATGGAAAAGTTGAAATGTTTTATTTACGAGTACGCGTTCCACCGTGGTACCAGTATTGCGGAAACGGCTCGAAGGGTCAATGATGTGTATGGCGATTGTGTCGCAAAAGAAAACACAGTGCGTTTTTGGTTCCAACGTTTTCGTTCTGGAAATTACGACCTGCAGAACAAGCCCCGTGGACGGCCGGAGACCCAAGTTAATAATGAAGAATTGAAGGCTGTTGTGGAAGTGGATCTATCGCAAACCACGTCCGTGTTAGCTGCAGGCTACGATGTTAGTGATAACACTGTTTTAATCCACTTGAAGCAAATTGGAAAGACTAAAAGCCTTATGAATTGAGTGAAGCAAACCGGCAAACGCGCTTCGACTTCTGCGTTACACTACTTAACCGGCACAATAATTAAGGGTATTGACTCCCATCCAAATCGTTTTTTAGTAAGGGGTGAACTACCTATCAGCGTTCGACTTCAATTTTTGTTTCAATTATTTTGTAAGTATCATTTTAAATATAAATAAAACTCATTTATTAATATGATCAATTATATTTCCAGAATTTATTGAGCATTTTTACAACTGCATTTAATTTGTATTAGTAACATTTAAAATGAAACACTACAACAACATGGCTTCATTTATTTTACATATTTTCATTTATTTTATTTTATTGTAAACAAACAAACCAATTTCTTTAGTGATTAATGGAGCAACGGTTTCACGATGTCAACTAATCATTAATGTAAATATGTACAAGCAATGAAGCTACCGAACTGTCATCTAGCTAATGAATTTCCCATATATGATCAAAGTAAATATCAGTTAACTTAAACTAGAAAGTCACGAAACTGGGTCTTATTAAAATATGTATTTATTACCCAATCGAAAATGAAATAACAATATCTACGGTAGCGTGCGCAATTGCTTTTACCAATGGCCTAATCATTATTGGTCCCTGAGTCTACCGAAAATAGATTCATAATTTAGAATTTTCCTCTAATTGATTTTCCTGCGCTCCCTATCTCACAGCAGAAACGGCGACGACAACATTCCTTTGGTTCTTACTCTTCTTTAATTTGACGATTCTATAAAAGAATTTGTGTTTAACGTGAACGTCTATACTATTGTCATTCATTCTTTCGACGTTAACATTATCCAATTTTCTTTTAACTTTGATCCATCTATCGTTTTTCCAATCGTACTTTTTCCCCATTTCTAGTAATATATCTTCAAATTTAGGCCAGCTATTATACTTAAAATAATATTTGTTCTTACTATCTACAGCTTTATCATTTATCGGTAAAGTTCTCGAATCATTTCGTAATTCTGTTTCGTGAGCCGGATTATTCCAAGCAGTTTTTATTGTATCATTCTTAATCATTTCTTTAATTCTTAAATGGTGTTTAGTTATTTCTAACCTACCCATCCGTAAATATCTACCATATATTTTATCAATATCATTTTTCGTGAGTTTCTCATCTGGATATTCATCATAAAACTCTTCCATTTCGTGCTGAATTTTATCTGTAACAATATTAATATACGAAATATAATCATTTATAATTAATTTACTTCATCATTATAATTAAAGCGAAACAAAAGAAAGTGTCGCGAGATATTATAATTATCATTGTCTAAATAACTGTTTCTTTAGTCATTGTATTTTGACAGAACTGTCAAAAAAATTAAACTAGAGCAAATAGTATGATATTTTCTGCGAGAAAAATGGGTAATTAGAGGTATTACGTCTTCTTATTATCGTGACGCACCTGCCATCTCTCTGAACAATGCAATGTCATCTTGTAGAGTTTCTCTATCCTTTTTCTTCCAGCGTCCATCTCCCCGATCTGGGAAATAAATTAAGGACATATTTCACTAATCTATAGACATTATCTGAATGAATAGCTTACGATTCGCTTGCGAATAATGGCCAAAAGGAAAATATTATGGAAGCAAATATTTTTATTTATTATCTGTGCGTAATGAAATTAAGGAATGCCGATAAAATTCTCAGAAAAAAAATAAGCCAGCTTTAATAAAAGTATCTTATTGTGTGACTCTCAATTTTAAGTACGAGGTCAAAAGTATTTATATATAAACTGTTTGTTGTTTTTATATAAGAGGCTATAATAGGAGCTTATGTTTTATTGAAGAAAATATATTGGCGTTTCATATTAATAGACTTCATATTAGATGCTATAACGTTATTTTGAGACAATATTAAGTGTTATATCTTTTTCGTTGGTCATATTTTATTCATCGAAAAAAAGAAAAAATGAATATAAAATTGTTGATCGATACAAAAATACTTGCTAGAATACTTAAATATGGCCAGCATTTAATAGTACTTAGTACTTACCTACAAATGCTGTGAGAATTATCAGGCAACATGTGTAATGTGTGAAGCTTCGCGCCATAAATACTCCCAAATCGATTAAATCTGGAACAATTACAACAAAGAGGATGGTTTTACATTAATTTCTATTAAAAATCGATTGGTAGATTACTTAATATTTAATTATATTTTATTAGTAAAATCAGGAGAGGAAACAGAGTTCTTTGGAAAGAGGTATAGCCACGCTTTTCTATTTTAGAAGATATTTTTACAAACAAAACTCCAATTGCGATCGGGGGACCGTTCTGTGGAATATTGGTAATCCAAGAGGTTCCCGAGTGCATTGATAATTTTGTTTAGCCAAGCCACAACACAACATTTATCTTTTATTTTTAGTTTGTCTTTGGCAGTCGTGTTTTTTAACTTTTACATTATTTATTTTATTGTAACGGTTAAACACGCTAGGATCGGTTTTCTTAATTTATCACCAATATTAGGCATTCACATTTATTAACGAGCAACTTATGCAATAGCATTGTACTAGGAAAGAGGTATAGCCACGCTTTTCTATTTTAGAAGATATTTTTTCAAACAAAACTCCAATTGCAATCGGGGGACCGTTCTGTGGAATATTGGTAATCCAAGAGGTTCCCGAGTGCATTGATAATTTTGTTTAGCCAAGCCACAACACAACATTTATCTTTTATTTTTAGTTTGTCTTTGGCAGTCGTGTTTTTTAACTTTTACATTATTTATTTTATTGTAACGGTTAAACACGCTAGGATCGGTTTTCTTAATTTATCACCAATATTAGGCATTCACATTTATTAACGAGCAACTTATGCAATAGCATTGTACTAGTAAAAATATGAAAGTAGTAAAAGTGATTTTAGACAATGAACTTCGTCGGATCACCAAATAGAAGTCAAATAGGAACGGTCTTTGGACCATCATGAAGGCTCAGTTATGATTAATTAATGAACGGTTTTTTGACGAAATTTCGTATATTGATAATTTTAAACCTGGTTTAACACATAGGCTACTATTTATCCCACTAAACATTTCTCTAGGGACAACGTAGGCGAAGCTAGTGCTAAAATATAATCCTTACTGTATACTTATTTATTTTTATTTATTTACGATATTTAAGAAAACCAACAACTGTAATAATATGGTTGAGATAATTAAACACATGTAATTTGAATTAAGCTAATGACAGGTTCCCATAGATATCATTAACATTGTTATCAAAATGTTTTCAGTAATTCTAAATAAAAAAAATGGACGTTTACTGATATTTATTTATAGATACTCATAATATGTAGTTAAGAATAAACAATTAACATTATAAAGAGGTTGGTTGTAGGGGGTTATCTTCGGAAATATTGATTCGAGGATGAAAATTCTTTCACCTCTGAGAAGCTACATCATAAACTTAGTTAATTGTTACTAAACAATAAATAAATAATATAAAAATATCATAAAGTACTCCAAAAAATAGTTACAATATGAACGATGTAATCGTCTTTTGCTTTTGTACAGCTTTAAGTAACTTACAATGAATTTAGTATAAAAATTTCTTAAAACGTGAAGTTTTTATTAAAGATTGTGGTAGGCCCCTAAAAATTAAGGGCGACCGTCGCGTCGGTTAAAATTAGATTTACTCGTATAAAATTCACCGCCGTAGCGGCAGAAGTTGCAGTGGTGACTTTATAATTTGTTCCTCCTATTTCCGATTTCTTTTTTTTCTTTTCTATATATTAGATTTTAATTTTAATGAAGGGAATTATCTATAATAATATTATGAATATAAAAGATTTGCATTGATTAAGCAAAGCAACTGTTAGGATTCGAAAACTCCAAAAAAGTTACTGTGCTTATTCAATGCAAATATTTAAAATGTTTGGGACCCGTATGTAAAAAATCACATGCGCAGCTGAGAAGGGCCCTTATATTTCTAGTCGGTCAACATCATTACCGACGACGATATCCGTAGCCGAGTGGTTCGCACGCCAGTATCAAGGCTTCGCCATCTCCGAGGTCCCGGGTTCGATCCCGGATGGGCCAATGTAGAAAATGGACTTTCCTATATTGTTTCGGATCTGTATGTTGTGGTACTTTTGTGCTCAGATACTCCATAATACGAGGGATTTAGCTACTCATTTTGGAATCTGAGCAATGTATGTGTGTTGTCCAGTATTTGTAGTTTTATTAACATATTATCACTTGCAATTGTGAGTATAGGCATTGTCGATGAACATAATAATACAGAGAGAATGGGCATTATGATAAATATTATCCCACGGGCTTAGTATGAATGCAACGAATTCAGATGCAACCGGAAATAGGAAAATAATATTTTCTTCGATTCACGAAAAGCCTGATGGATAAATTTTTGGTCACTCATCCGATAACCAAGCTTTAAGAAAGTTGCTCGACTGCCATAATTGCAAATCGAACGTATTCACTGAGCTTTCTAGACAATTGAACAATAATTTGAAAAATATTATATTCCTTAAGTGTTTGATGAAGGTTAATGAAATATTTTCTCTTCAAATTTAATTAGCGTTAGATATACATTTAATTTAAATATCTTTATATGTAAATTTTATTGTAAATGTTTATCTAGTCTTGTAAATATTTGTCTATTTTAACTGTAATAAAAAAAACATATCATAATGCTCAATTATCATAAAATCATTCATTTTTTATTGTAGATGTTGAATTGCGCGACGGAGTTCGGAATGTGGAAATAACCGATTGTGGCAATAAAATCCCGCATACCTTAATAAATGAATAACCAGGGGTTGCACTCTTAAAACTAATTTTCGATATAGCGCCAAGTTCATCGTGCTCTGTCTTACTTTATGAAATATTAAAAACACGTAAGTTAGAACAAGACAATCGACGATATAATCCATGATGTATAGAATTAAGACTAAAGAGTACAGTATCCGTCACAGTGTTACGAAAATGCTGTCACAGTTATATTAATATAGAATAACTAGACTGGTTGTGTATTAAGTCATAGAAGTATTAATAAAAAATGGTTTTCTCTAATTATTATAAAATTATGATTTTTCGATTACCAAATTATCGTCAGGTAGTTGATTTGTGTTCGTTTTGAATGTGCATACTAAGAAAAATACCGCTGCAAAATTAAATCGTCACCTGTATAGTCAAAAAAATAATCGCATAGGAACATACTTATCTGTATTATTAGTAATTGCAAAGTCAACAATAAAGGAGCAGTCTTGACTAGTGGTAATTATAAATAAAAGATATACACATTGTAATATTAATATTTCATTAATGGAAACAAACTTTGAATTATTTTTTATATTTGACTGTGATTTTCTTAGGTTCTATCAATAGGTGAATGATTCCAGATAAAAAAGACAACTCTAGCAAAAAATTCATTTGTTGAAACAATTAAAATTATCTGAAGGTAGATTTGCTAATACATATTACTCTGTATTAGCAAATCTACCTAGTCATAATCATAGAAAAATTAAATCTGTAACCATAGCACATATTTTGTGATTTTTTTTTTATAAGAAAGACTAGAAACTTATTTTTCTGCAGGTAGTAAACTATCCACGGCTTCTTGGAAAATTTGTGTATATGACAACATCAGAGTTTTGATAAGATCTCTAAGGGATATAAAATATATGTCATTTGAATGTAGATCATAAAAAAACTACTCATTTTATCAATATTTTTTTTTCCTTATTATTTCCAAATATATTATAGCTATATCATTTAATTAAGCAATTAATACATCCATCGTGCATTCCGATGTATGAAGGAATGTTTTTGTCACCCTTACTATAAACGGTCCTTACAAAAGTTATTTTTTTTCACGCTTTTCGCGCTCTATTTGGCGTTTGTTTCTCAGCATTTGATTAGTTTATTAATAAATGTACTCGTATAAGTGATGTTACGCTATTTGAACTGTTCTTCTTCTCTTTTTCTTCTTTTATTTTTGATCTTTTTAAATTATTATTCGTCTAGATGTATGTTTTCCATTCAATGCTAGTAAGCCTGAAAGAAATTGCTGGCTAACGATAAGTTCGACGTTTGTACGTTGTTAAGTGAAATGTTTATATCTATGTTCATGGCATTTTATTGTTGTGCAATAAAGAGTATCGTAAAGTGAAGGCGCTAATCCACTACGCCATCGGGCCTCTTAAAATTATAACTATAATATTTATTATAAAGAGAAAAGATATGATTATTTGTTCGCATCGAAATGGCTCAGAAACTACTGGACCGATTATAAAAATTCATTCACCTACAGGATGCTATATCATAAGCAAGTGGTAATAAGTTATTATTTACGCGGTCAAAGTCGCAGGAACAGTTAGTTCATTATATAGTACGACAATTTATCTGCGGTACGCCTATAGGGTACCGGTAACACTAGTTAGCGATGATTGAAACTACTTTCTCGCTCTCTATGCTGCAAAGACCTAACTCTTTCAGAACTCAAGCGCATTTCTCTATCAAAGGAAGTTTCAGAATCTACTACACTGTGTTACGATCAGCAGTTAGGATGTACTAAGCGATTTTGAGAAGTCTCCTGAGATCGAGCTTGTTATATGAGTTCTCCGAGAGCTCAAGTGATTTTCTCTGACAGTGAATGCATCAGGTTCGACTTAATAGTGCATGAGCCTCACGAGCGGCAGTTAAATACGCTTTGCGTTCTTTGGGTGTCTCCTGTGACCGAGCACTTTCTGTCCGAATTCTGAGAGCTCAAGCAAATAAAAGTC